GTTGCGAGGATAGAAGTCTTTTGCGAGAGAGAGCTCATACGTTAAGAGGACAGTGGGAGGCAAATTTACCTTGAAGAGCTTCAATAGTTGAGCGATGAAGGAACCTCCAACACTAGTGCTTAACCAGAGGAGGAAACTCCTGTTGAACTAGTTGATGAGTCATTACCTCTTAGAAATTCCTCTCAAGTAAGCATGGAATCGAAGTTTTATGGTTTTCATATTACTACAAAAGGTGATAAGTTTATCAGTGATAATACACTTGTAAATTTTGATGAGCCATGTAACTACAAGGAGGCGATGGCAGGCCCCTGAGTCTGCTAAATGGAAAGAGGCAATGGACAGTGAGATTTAGTCCATGTATGACAATCCATTTTGGAACTTGGTTGAAAATGTACCAGGTCGTAAGACGGTCGGGTGTAAATAGATCTTCAAGAAGAAGACCGACATGGATGTGAAAGTACACACATATAAGGCACGATTGGTTGCGAAGGGATTTACTCAAACTCCTGGAGTTAACTATGATGAGACCTTCTCACCAATAGCGAAAATTAACTCTATAAGGTTTATGCTACCGATAGATGCGTTTTATGATTATGAAATATGGCAGATGGATGTCAAAACCGCTTTGCTTAATGGGAAGTTGGTTGAGGATATTTACATGTGTCATCCAGAGAGTTTTGTAGATGCGATGTACCCTAATAGGGTGTGTAAGATTAAGAAATCTATTTGTTGATTAAAGCAAGCATATCGCAGATGGAATATTTGTTTAGATGAGAATGTCAAAGAGTTTGGTTTTTCGAGAAGCGAAGATGAGTCCCGTGTATGTGTCAAAGCTAGTGGGAGTATAGTTAGATTTCTGATATTGTATGTGGATGAAATACTACTCATAGGAAATGACGTTCCAACCTTGCAGGAAGTTAAGTCCTGGCTTGGGAAGTGTTTCGCTATGAAGGACCTTGCGGAAGCTCCTTATATTCTAGGGATAACGATATTGAGAAATAGGAGTAAAAGACTAATAGGACTTAGTCAAAGTACCAACTTGGATACGGTGTTGAATCATTTGAGCATGGAGAATTCGAGAAAAGGAGAATTGCCTATACAAATTAATACTAAACTAAGTAAGACTCAGATTCCAAGTACGGATGCCGAAATACCAGAAATCGGTCGAGTACCATATGCTTCTGGCGTTGGCTCGATCATGTATGCTATGAAATGTACTCTCCCTAATGTGGCTTTTGCTTTGAGCATGGTTAGTCAATATCAATGGAATCCTGGTAGAGCACAATGGAGAACTAAGGACTGGGTCTTCACCCTCGGTGGGAGTGATGACTTGAATGTGAAAGGGTATAGTGATGCTAGTTTTTAGACAGAGAAATTTAATTTCCACTCTTAATCGGGCTGGGTGTTTACCCTAAACAGAGGAGCAGTAACATGGAAAAGTTCAAAAAAAGAGACTGTAGATGATTCAATATGCGAATAAGAGTACATAGCAGCAAATGAATAGTTGAAGGAGGCAATATGGGTAAATAAATTCATCAAAGACCTTGGGGTTGTATCACCCGTAAAGGTGCCTATGGAGATTTTCTGTGACAACGAGAGTGTGGTTGCCTTAACAAAGGAACTGAGGGATCATGGAAGATCCAGAAACATCAATAGAAAATATCACTTCATAAGACATCAAATAGAAGAGGGACTCCTCATAGTGTAGAGGATATCATTAGAGGATAACTCAACAAATCCCCTTATGAAGGGACTGAATAGGGTTAAGCATGTGTTTTATGCTAAGAGCATTGGCTTAAGAGATGACATTAGTTTTAGTGATTAGATAGGTAGTTTCGCAACTTGTAATAGTTTAAATGTAATTGACATTTGATGATTGAATAAAGGAGTTTTATTTATGAGTAAATTTACTATCTCGTGTCAATTATTTACTATTGTTTCATATTGCATGTTTTGACTTCCAGAATATTATGATTATTCAAATTATCCACAGTTGATCACACTTTGGAAGTAGGCTACGAAGTTAGGCTGTCATGAACTGGATTGTAGATTGTCTAAGGTGTTTAGATATAGCAAAGGTTTGCTAGAACGTTCATGAGTGCTCTTGAAATAAGATTTGAGTATGCGATTAAACCCATGCTCACATGAATCACTTCATGGAATTTATCTAGAGTGATTGTTAGACGATGATATCATATAGTCTTCAAGCCGGGATATATGAGTTTTTAATTACGAGTTGGTTGTGCATTGATAGCACGAAAACGCATCAATAACTTGATGTTATAAAACATGTTGTTGTGTGTAATTTAACAAGTAATTAGTACAAGCATATAAGTCGCAGTTTATCCATTCCATTTATCCTAATAGGATTAAAAGCGATATCATGGGCCCATCGATGATTTTGTTTTAACTTATGTGTCGGGCCCGGTCACGACCCAATTGATGTGTTCAATTAAGTTCTATGTCAAACAAATCAGAAATCGGGAAACAAACTGTTGGACAATAAGTATGACTATGTTCCATGTATTTTTCTGCACAATATCTTGAATAATAAAGGGTTATACGATCCCTTGTCTAAAGGACGAGTCATTTACTTGATCAATGTTTGATAGCGGCTTTTGAGGGCTGCGATTTCTAATCGAATTTTGAAGTTACATCGACAATTATAGTTATTATTATTATCTAAGTTGGAAACTATTGGATTAGGTGTGTACGTCCATAAATATAGTTGGTGTGTACTTGACCCGATAGTAGCATGGTCCTTTTGGGTTGCATTCACCGGAGCAATCTGATAGGATAGACATTTGAGAAAGTGGTTACTTGTGATTTATTAATATGTTATAGGAATAATATATTAATTGAGAATTCATATTATTTAACTAGTATTGATCAAAAATTAATTTGGAATTAATTTAGCGATCGAAGGACTCTGATTAAATTTACGGGGACTGATTAGGTAAATCAATAATACGTATAGTTTGGGCTAATGATTCATGTTGATTAGGGATGGGCTAATCCTATATGTGAGTCCATGAAGGTTTAGTCCAAAGGGCCTACGAAATATGAAGATTCATGGTGAATTAGGGTTTAAATGTAAGAGACCTTAGGAATTCCACACTAAAAAAGTAACCCCTAACCCCCCCTAAAATCGGCCAACACATTCCATAGTGAAACCCTACCAGATTTCGATACGTATTAACCTCTCTCTCATAAGCCTCCTCTTAGTTTTGGTGTTTTGTGACACATTATATGTATCACACTTGAGGTACTAAGCTCTTGAAAGGCCAAGAACTACAAGCTATGACTAACAAGTATTCATCTAAGTAGTTTTTATGTTGTATATCTCCAATTTCATTCTAGCTAGGCTATGTGCTTTGGATAAAATGAAATTGCATGTATAACTTGAGAAAACATAGATCCAAAGCATTAGGGTTGTATGTGCAATATAGAGATGGTATAGTGCTCAAAACCCATCAAACTTGACATAAAAGCATCCATGAGGAGATATTGGTAAATCATGCTGGTTTGAATCATTTTCTAGACGAGAAAAACTCATGAAAGGCAAAAAGTTGATATCATGAAGAATTCCTTCTTAGGAAAATGGAGAAATGCCTAGCATGGATTGGGATCATCTTTCAACCCTTGAATCTGAATGCTTTTTTTCAAGAGCTTGCTTCATTTGTTCTTCTGACCAGCCCTCAAACTTTTTTGATGACTTCATTGGGCTATATGATTCAAATGAGATCCTTTTCCCTTTGTCTTGATTTGATCAATCATAGTGGATATGGATGAGATCATTTGTTGAACGGATTGAGTAATATAAGTTCCAAAGTAGGAGGAATCTAAGGCTCTTCCAATAGTTCATTAGGTTTATTGATGAGAGAACCTTCACCAACAAGGAATATTCTCAGAGCAAGAATTGGAGGAGGCATTGATTGGGTGGCTCGGAAAGTATCAACTATTAGCTTTGTCTTTAATTTAGTCATTTCTCAACACCGTTTAAATGATTCTGCTAGATTTGATGGCCACCAGATAGAGGAGCATTTCTTTTTTTCTTCTTCCGAGATAATTTTGGTGACGGAGTGTTGTTCCTTGATTGTGTAAAGACTTATAATTTCATTGATCACCAGGTCATTTTCATCAGAGTTATCTTCTGCTTCAAAGCTTCAACTTCAATGATTTCTTCATCAATTGTTTCATCTCGGAGCTAAAAGTACGAGATAGGATTTCATTGAACTAGCCTTTCTTACCCTCTTGCATGGGAAAGCCTAAATTTTGATCCAAGCAAAGCATCTAGTTTCAAATATTCTAACCATTCAAATACCCGTTAGAAGCTCATGTTGATTTTCTTTGAAAGATTATCATAGGCATCAGTTGTTGGAGCTTGTGTTTTAAGAATGTTGGACGTCTTGTCCATGGTCAGTAGTATTTGCATCAAACTTGTGGTTTGGAGTGCCCACAAAGTATTGTGCCGACCAAATCAATTTGATTAGAACCTAATGCATGAACATGTTTAGCTTATCTTTGTGTTTGATATCCTTCTCCAATCGTTGTATTTGTTTTTCATAATGAACATGAGTCTGCTTGATAAGCTCATTGGTAGCAGAAATCATATCTACGTGTATCTTGAGCATAGTGGAGATGGTATAGATGTGATGGTTGAAATTATCTCTGCATCATACCTTCGAAGATAAAGAAATGAGTTGATGTAATTGTTTAGCTCTGTCAAGTTCTGAAGGAGTAACAACCTTTATCTTAAAAATAGATTTGATCACTTAATCATGTGCCGAATCAAGTGATGCGACTTTGTTAGTAATAGTGTTGACTTTAGAATTGGCTTTGGTGACATTAACTTGGAATTCTAGGAGAGCAAACAGATCAGCTATGTTTTCATCTGAGGATCTTGTATCTGAAGTGGAACTTTGAGATCTTTTATCATCATTTACAGTATCATCAGAGTCTTCAGGACCCATGGGATCATTGTTTTGATCACCTTGAAGTTAAGTTCCTAGATCACCATTGACCTTTGGTCTTTCATTAGGAGGGGTGTTGTTATTTGCTTCTTGATTTTCTTCTTCTTTCATTTCATCCAAGGATGAAGAGAGACGGAATTCAAAATAAACTTTGGAAGAGGAGGGCTTTTGTAGCAAATTAAAAGTTAAAGGATGTGGGATGGCACCAACAATTATGTTATCATCTTGAAACATGATTTCTTCATAGTCAACATCTTCATAATCTGGCTTGGGATCATCCCAGATATGTATTGAGACAGGAACATCTTTTGCACCATCAATCTTTAAAGGAGGATCATCCATTGTAATGTTAGGAGTAGGTACATCTCTACTTGGTTTAGTATTCAAAGTATCAATGGATGGCTAGAACAAATGATTAGATTCTTCATTTGATGGAAAGGTGAAGGGTATGGCTTTCGATTACATGTTGGTTCATGGATATGAGAGTTAATCCAACTTGCTCTATTGAGAGATTAGTGTTGGGTTATGAGCATTCTAACACTCCTAAGTGTACATGCAACCCTAAATACCTTGGATCTATGTTTTCTCTATTATACATGCAAATATGAACATCCAAGGTATTATCCTAATCTAGCATACAATATTATCAATATAACAAGATAGAATACATACCTCTTTGATAGTGCTTGTCTTCATGAAGCTTGAGTGCTTAGTGCCTCAAGTGTGACACCTCAAATGGTTCACACAACACCAAATACACTTGGAATAACTTGAGAGAAACTAGAACACTTCATGAAATCGGTTAGCCCTCTCTAGAATAATCTAGTGACCGATTTTGGGAAGAATAATATCTTTATATAGTGTTACAATTAGGGTAAACCCTAATTGTCATGACTTTCCATTTCCTTGGATCCATGGGTTCAAATACACCATGGAGCATCATATGGGTTTTGGCCCAACTAGATAATCCATGGAGCATTAGCCCACTATATAAGTATGGATGATTTACACAATCAACCCATATATTTAATTAGTCTTCTTTTGATCACTTAATTAATCCTAGATTAATTCTTGATCAATACTAATTAAATAATCTTATTATTCTTATTATTAATATACTAGAACTTATAATATATTAATAACCATAAGTGTCTTATTTCTCTCATTATAGTCTATCCAAGTGCATGATGCCATGCAACCCAAATGGACCATGCCGGGTCGGGTCAAGTCTTACCAATTATAGTTATGGACTTAGACATTAATCCAACAGTCTCCCACTTGGATAAGTCTAAAACTATTATTGCGTATGACTTCAGGAACCAACTGGCAATCGTAGCTCTCAAAAGCTTCTGTCGAACTCTGACCTTGTAGATGAACTCTGATCTTTGTCAATGACTTGTCCATTAGATAAGGGATCATATATTCCTCCATTCTAGATATCATATGGACTGAGACATGGATTATAATCATTCTCTCTGTCCATTTGTTGTTTCCCGATTTCCGATTTATGACGACTGACTAATTGAACAAATCAAATCAGTCCTGGCCCGGCCGAGCACTTCCATTTGTCATCATCAAATCATCGAGGGGCCCACAGATATCGCTTTATCCCGAAGGTAAAAGGAATGGATAAACTTCGACTCATATGGCTTGTTCTACTACTTGTTGAATCATACACAAAGACACGTTTTATAGCACCGAGTTACCAAATGCGTTTCGTGCAATCAATGTACAACCAACTCATAGTAACAACTCATATCTCTAGGTTTGAAGAATATAAGATATTATCGTCTCATGATCACTCGTGATAAAATCCATGAAGTGATTCCAATGAGCGCGGGTTGAATCCAATACTCAGAACTTATGAGCACTCATGAGTGTTGTAGCCCTTTGTCCAACAACTTAGACCTCTACAAGCCAACCCATGACAGTCTTAATTCATATCTACTTCCAACATATGACCGACTGTGGATGGTTTGAATAACTTAGTCATTCCGGAAGAATAACCTAGTTTATTCGGGAAGTCAAAACATGCAAAGTGAAACACAATAATAATTGAATCCAATATGGTCTCAGAACTTATGAATATAAATAAAACACTTTTATTTATCACCATATGATTACACATTATTCATTGTATATTGTTTCAGCTATCAACATTATTCTTGAATTTAAAACAATAGTTGTCCCATGCTCCAAGCATGCACACTATGTTTTCTAAACACTAGTCATGCCATACACCAAGTATGCATAATATGTTTGTCTATGATCTTTATTTTGTGAACTAGATCAATGAACATAACTTCAATGATTCTCTTTTCACACTCCCAAATCCTTACTGCAAATGCAAGAATTCCAAATTCATGTCATTTACTGAAATCTGTTAGATTCTAAACTTATATGCATCGATCCTCTTGTAATGATTATGCACAAAGTCAGAAAGACTTAACAACAATCATTACAGAGCATTCCAAAGGAGATCAAGTCCTTGGAACCATCCTTCTTGCATTAAGTTTCCTTAATCTTACACAGATTGAAAATTCTAACTTTGAAACATTTCCAGATTCCATTTTGACTATCACTTCTGAACAAGAGTTGCCTCCTTACAGATTATGTCAATATGGTCCTTCCAGAATTATCACTATACTTCCAATTGTCCTTGAGAACCAATCTTTGGTAAACCTTAGATTGTCCTCGACAATTGTTTAATCCTTTTAGTCATATCCAGTTCTAAACCTTTTCCCTTCTTAATGCCCCAGGCATTTGGAAAATTTTAGAAAGGATGAATATAGCACATGTAATCGATCCTATATCCGAAGCATATGGGACACGATTCATGATGTCTCACATAAAGACTAAACCAGTCTTTTGCTATAACATTTCCATTTCATTTGCCAAGTTCTCATAATTCAGATTATGAAAAGGGATGCCGTAATCATAATCGAATTTAAGAACGCAAATAATGGACCCATATACAGAATTTCCTTATGTTGAGCCATTCCAACATGAAATTCATATATATCCTTGACTAAATGATTAAAACCTCACGATCTAAGCTTATAGATTTGAGATGAAGTATAATTTCCTCTCCCTTAATTATAGCAAAACAACTTTTTCCCAATTGAAACCTTTTGTTTTCTATAATTAACATTGCTAGCTTGCAATACTTATCGTAATTATCATGCTCCCACTAACATGATGATTATTAGCATAACACTTATGCTCCCACTAGCTTTGACATGTACTCAGAAATCTGGACTTCTAGAAATCAATACTTTATTGACTTTCTTACCAAAGTTCAGATTTCTGATACTAGATTGTTTTGATAAACTTTATCAAAAACATACACCTTCCTTAGATAGCTTGTGGTGTGTCAAAACAATTTTAAGAACTATGAAAAGGGATGCCGTAATCATAGTCTTGATCGTTTTGACCTTTGCCATTTCTCACAAGTCCAAGTTAGTGTGCCGGTAAACCACACACGCTCCACTAACGACTTTGAGAATGCACAATTGCTATCTAGCTAAAATCTACTTAGTGGAAGTGTTTCCTCACCATCATTTTCATGAATCGGAGAGAAACCTTATGACACTTAGATTTAATGGTGTATGAGTTCTACCATGTGAATTGTCAAAACCATAGTCACAAGACAAGGATAATGACAAATCCAAACCATATGGATTGAACTCAATCTTAATTTCTTGCCACCTGGCAGCTCAAGGGCCTACCATTGCTTCCAAGTTGTTGTGCAACACATTGAGAACTCTAAGAACTCATATGCAAAGCCAACTTTAACTGAATGGGCACAGAATATGTCAACACGATAGGTTATAAACCTCAAGTCGTGTGCTAGTGAAGAACTTCAGGTTTCATTCTTGATTAGTTCTTGAGACTTTCAAGACCTTTAAGACTCCCACTGTCCTCTTGACCTATAAGACTCCTTGTCAAACATCCAAGAGATAGTGTGGATTCTAATCAAGACAAACACTTCACACAATTGGCCTAAGTTGGTCTTTGTTTTATCCAAAACATCACAACTTACCAATTTCAAATGTACAAGAGTAGAAAACTTTTACTCTTACATTTGATAAGTGTTTTAAACCTTCTTTAAGACATGTCACTCAAATTACAATCTTGGAGTATGACTCTAAGACTTGTATTGGAACGAAGTATGACTCATCTTCTTGATTTAACCATTTCAACAATTCAAGATCCCTTCTTCTTAGTCATAAGAATGCACTAAGACTTCCTTAGAGAACTAATTTTGATATGGTTTCTTAATCATTAAGATGATCACAAAACTGATACTAAAGTACTCTCCCATCTTTTCAGATTTGAGAAACTTTTATCCTTCTGCCTAATTTGATTCTTCTTATTCGCTCTGCCTTACATTGGAACCTTTTCCAATGTCTCAGAGTTACACTTAAGCTTGTAAGTATAATCATATTTACTGAGCTTTAGTAAACTATGACGAATAGCCTTATCTTTTGTGGTGGACTTAATCAGTGCACATGACTATGTACTCGATCCCTTAGTCCATTACTTGACTCACACATCCATGTGAACAAGTAATTAGTCTTAATTTTTCCAATACTTGAAAGTTCTCATTCATCATGCTATACAACTTGCATGATTCCAAGTCCCGGTCCAATTGAGACTTTGGATGATGAGAATCTTTCCTTATTTGGTAAATTTAGACATTACCACAAATGAAGAATCAATTTCATATTTCCACTCTTGCTATTAATGGAATCATATAAGCAACAATTTTTCCTCAAATGCCATTGTAAGGATATTTTAAAATAAATAAAATCAAAAATTTTCTTTTATTTTAAAACTATGCGGAAAAACTTATCCTTACAATCCATATGAAAACTTGTTGTTATCTATTCCTTAGCAATATCTCATAACTCCTAAGAAGTAGCTCAAGAATCCGATTTCAAACTACGCGATAGAAATCCATCTATGCGATCAGATTCAGCATATTCTTTCTTTAAGTTCCTTTACTTTTCTTTGATTCTTAAAACATTACCATGTGACCCAGTCACATCATGTATCAGGAATCTCAGAATAGAAACTTAACAGAGTTAGATAGTGGACTTTACCTGAAGTAGAGTCAATCTTATTGACTTTAACATCCTTAGGTAAATTTGGCAGCTTCGCAACTAATGACCCTTCTTTGGCAATATAAACATATGGACCCTTTGATAATGGTACACGGGACTATCACAGACTTAGCTTTTCTCTTTACCATTTGTTCAACCGAGTTGACTATGGCCGATCCCTTTCCATTGGGAAGAGAATGCTTTTTCTGTATTTCCAGTGTCACCATTGTCAATGTC